ACCTTACACTTCTTATAACAAAGTTATAAGGAAATAATTTTTAGAAAGGATGTTTTATTTTTGATAAGTATCTCTCCCGTGCAAAAATGAACGAACAAAACACAATAAGTGAGGTGGCTCAGTGAATTTTGGGTTGATCATCAATAAATGTGATCATTTATTTACACAATCAAACAAAATCACTACAGTACACTTAATTGTGAGCAATCTATTTCCTATAAAAAATTAAGAACCAACAATAACAAGCACACCTCGAGCTTAATTAATTGTTAATCCAGCACCTAAAATAGAAACAGCATATGTCGGCTCAGATGTTAAAAAAACCTGAACATTTACTGGCACATAAAAACTTAGGATGGCAAGGCAGGGGTTTAAAAAAAGGAGGAAAGTAAGATGTTAGTTAGTTCCTAACTTTTATCTTTGAGAATGTAGGTAACCAGAGGACACATCTTCCAACCCATTCTCACTTCCAACTTGTCAACATATTAACGCTTGGTCAGGTAGTCGTCTGCGTCCAGTTTTGACGCTTCGGGTACCCCCCACGCATCAGTTCTTAATGAGCGTGTTGTCATATTTTTTAAAGAGTAGGAAATGCGCAAAACTAACCATCCCAGACCCTAAATTTAACTTATATTAGCCTTATACAGCCTATCCCTGACCTCAGTACCTCAATTTAACCATTAATCCTGATCCCTCATATTAACCTCAGACCCCCAACCCAAAGACCCCTAAGTGGCACAACACGGAAAAGCTGTGGGTGGCAAGGACTGACGTGAGGGGGGTACCCGACGTGTCAAAACTGGACGCAGATGGTCCCTGACAGAGAGTCAATATGTTGACATGTCAGGAATGAGAACGTCTTACATCTTCCCAGCTGACCATCAGCTGGAAGTCAAGTAGGTTCTAACACAACAGCCTTTACCTGGAGGTGGCTTCACCATCACGGTTCGGGTAACACGTTCTCACTCCGACTCATCAACATATTGACGCTTGGTCAGGGACCGTCTGCATCCAGTTTTGACACGTCAGGTACCCCCCTCATGTCAGTGCTTGCCACCTGCAGCTTTTCCGGGTTGCACCACTTAGGGGTCTTTGGGGGTCTGAGTTTAATATGAGGGATCAGGATTAATGGTTAAATTTAGGTACTGTGGTTGGGGATAGGCTGTATATGGTTAATATAAGTTAAATTTAGGGTCTGGGACCGTTAGTTCTCATGCATTCTCTACACTTTCAAAAATGGTTAATATGAGGGATCAGGGTTAATGGTTAATTTTAGGTACTGGGGTCAAGGGTAGGTTGTATAAGGCCAACAGAAGTTAAATTTAGGGTCTGGGATGGTTAGTTTTGGGCATTTCCTACTCTTTTCAGAAAATATGACAACATGCTCGTCCTCCTCTGCCTCATCTTGTTAAGAACTGATGTGCGGGGGCTACCCAACGCATCTGAAGCTGGATGCAGACGGCTACCTGACTAAGCGTCAATATGTTGATGAGTTGGGAGTGAGAATGGGTTGGTTCAGGAGGAGTTCACCTGGTTGGCAAGGGAAATCCATCAGGTTTTCCTGCTCAGCTGTTGAACTCCAGTGTGTTATTTCAGTGTCTCCTGACTCTGCATCACAGCCGCACAGGATAGACGAGTGCCTCTGGGTCCCGGTTCCAAAATAAGACTAGCTCCCCACAGGAAGTCAAGACAAAGTTGCTTTGTGAGCTTTGAGCTCTTGYTTTGGGTCACACCGAGGTGTTGGTGTGAGCCTGGSCATGAAGTTCCTCATTGGCAATGAAGGGTAGAACCAACACAGCCCAAGCACTGGTTCTTCATTCGGAGACCCAGCTGTTAGTGTTTGGATGRAAGGGTGTCTGTTTCCGCCTTCCGGGCAGAAACTGTGTTAGTCATCAAAGAGGTTTTTTTTTTCCGCCCTCAGTCGACAAGTTTAGTAAAACGGGAAGATAAGAAAAATGTTACTTCAGAAGTTGCCAAGGCCATCTGACGCTAAACAAGATGATTGCTTCTGCACAGTTGCATAATCAAAAACATATGTTGAACTGTTTAGATATTGTCTGATGAGAACACTTTAAAAATAATGACTGAAAGAATGGATTATTTTCAAATGCAAGWTTCAGACAAATAAACGCTGCTGTTTCATTAAAACTTAAACCATAATGATTAGTTTAGTTAAGCATGATATTTCCACAGAAAAATCCATACATAGCTGAAATCATACTGAGGGAGAAAAGCCTGTTCTCTTTTCTCCTGTAACTTTGATAAACATTGTCTCATGATTATCAAAATGCCTAATAACTCTTAGTTAAGAGAAAAATTAATCAAATAAAAAGAAGATTATTCTGTTTATTATCTKATTAAGAAAAGAGAATGTCTCTTTGACAGATGAAGATGACCTGTTGTGGCCCACATTCAGGTTCAACCAGAACATAGTTCTGTCTCTTTAAAAGCCCATCAGAGGTCTGAGCTCACAAAACAGTTTCCTTGTTTATTTCACTCGAAGTCACCCCACGTTGTAATAAGACATCATTTTAAGCTAAAATTCGGACTGGGGTTAGAGAAAGTGAGCATGGGATCGGTAGGTCACCAGTTTGAATCCCCCGTTCATTACATCAAAATGTGAGTGGGGGAGAGGGGAAGCACCCAGACCTGCCCCCACCCTCATTTGCCCCACTCTGGGYCCCCAAGCCTTCCCCTCATCTGCTCTCCCTGGCACCCCAGATGATAGTCTCCTGCTCCACACAGGTGGGCTACGGTAGCATGGTGGTCATAAAAGCAATAGCCAAATGTGAATTAGCTGGCTGAAGCAACTCCTGATGAAAAAAAGCTAAATTAGCTCTGGTAGCAGCTGAGAGTCAGTCACACACTTTTGGCTCSGATCTCGACAAATCTCACAATATTGCATCAACTTATATATAAGGTCATTTACAAAGTTTGACCTCAACAGTTTTAAATCTTGCACTTCTTGTGATTTTAGATTAAAATTCTTTTTTTTTTTAGATTAAAATTCTGACATCACAGCTGAGCGATATGCTAGACCTGTAAATTAAACATAATCAGCTTTTCTCTTTATTTATCCAAAGACCACAATAATTGTATTAAACTTGGATCACACATACATTAAAGAAGAGAGCTGACTTTGATATCTTTTCAGGCAAATAAATTTAGACAGTTAGTTCTCAGATTTATGTACATCCTTTAGGTGTTAATTGACAGAATAAAAGAGAAATAAACCAGCTCAGTGAAGTGGATAAAAGACAATAAAATCAGGAATGATTTTGATCTTAAGGTGTACAAAGTTGACCAGAACAGCATGCAAACAGTGACGATGTTAATGAACTTGATGATACCCAAACATGTTATCAAAGACTCAGTTTTTTTTTTCTTTTATGGCCTGAAGTCTAAGCTATCACAGAAGCCACTATGAAAGTCAACTTGTGCCCTGAGAGAATGAACTTAGCTTTGAAAACACTTTTTTGAGTCTCGGTGGCCTCAATTATTTCTCTGCTGTTTCAGGGAAAAAAAAACTTCATAAATTGAAGAATGTTGCAAAACTATGAATCCATTGTTTTAGTCTGTGTTGCATCATCTTGTGGAGAAGAAGTTCAAATTCAACCTGACATTGAGTTTCTCTAAGTGGGCTGTAACATGCTGCATCATTCTGTGTGTGTGTGGGGTGGTGGATGGGGGGTGTGGGGTCACACCTGACACACGCCATGATTAATCTGCAAATCCCTCTAGCTGGTGAGCTGAAATTGAAATTGAAACTGAAATTGTGTGCAGTTTGCACATGTAACCGTCTAAATTAATTAAATTTATTATATTTAGTCATCGAGATTGTTCAGTTTTTCAGTCAATGCAAAATTCAAGTGGAATAAATTTCATATATTTATTGTTCTTCATCAGTTTCTTCGATGAAACTGATTTTTTGCTTTACTGGTTTAGAAGAGTTGTTCACAGCCTCCGATTTTATACCTCTGAACACCACACAGCAGCTCAATTATGTTTTTCTCCTACAGACTCTCTCAAACCTGCATCTCGCTGCTTCAGTGCCTTCAATTTGTCATTTTGTCAAGGTGCATTAAAAACGCATTAAATGTTTTAATAACTTTAATTGTGTCTGTAAAGTAGAGGTTTTGCTCCTTATTTGTCGTATTTAGTTATTTTTTATCACATGCTGTTGTCTTTTTTTTCAGAAAGGGAACATTGCTGCTGAACAACAGCTTTGCTGTGGCAGCTGCTCTGCTGCTGTCGCTGGGTGAGATGTCGAGATCATTTGAGATGCTCATCATCGGTCGCATTATTATAGGGGTGAACTCTGGTGAGTAATATCTAAAGAAGCAGGTTTTTAAACAAGCTCAGGCACAAGTTAGTGTGCATCAAGTTAGTGTGGGGAATCAGGGTACCAAAAAAGTATTTGGTCATGCAATTTTTCATGCCAGTTTTTTTTGGTTTCCAAATATTTTTTATCAAAGGCAAAAAAAAAATTGCTACCTAACAGTCTGAGAGAAACACCACTTTTTTTTTTTTAAAAAAATGTAACATCTTGAAATAAGATTTGTGTTTTATAACAAGATTATGTTTTTTGTTGTTCATCTGCTTGTTGTTTTAGCTAAACATCGAATGAACCACTTATAAAGGGCTCGACACACGCGGAGTGACAAACGACAGCGATTAATGGCTGTCATCGCAGTCAGGGTGAGACCTGACACACGGGATGYGATAGCGATGGCAGCACTGCGAATCGAGCTCTCGGATCGCTTGTCTTCACGAAATTTGTTTGGTTCTTCTTCTGCCTCTTGTAAAGGTTATTGGTGGTTCACAAAAAGGGGGAGGGGTCCATTACGGACATGTAAACTAAACAAAACTTGTGATGCCAATGATATTGAAAAAACAAACGCACGCCAAAATATAATTTTATGAGGAAAACTTACTGGATAACTTTACCCTGGCACCAACAAATTCCCATAAAACTGCCTTTTTWAAATAATCACTTGGTGAAGGGTCATATAAAACTGGAAAGTTTGACAGAGCTAAAATAACGTTGAAAGTGTTAGCTTACGTGTAGCGTACTCTCCGCTCATTGGTCAGTCAATGAAACCCTCGCTGATTGGTTGTAATGCCATGCGACAGCAACAAAAGTTGAACATTTTTTCAATGCTTCGCCAACTTGCGTGTGCACGTCTACATGTATGAGCGTGAAATTTCACATGCACTATTTTCGCCGGTTCCTTGAGGGCAAGTGATTGTCACCTCATCGCACAAGTTCCATAGGAAATGAATGGAGAGAGAGCGATGTCCCCTCCCATGTGTCGAGCCCTTTAGATT